ACCAACTGAAAATATTAGGTGTGTCCCGCGCGCTCATATGACCTTATGCAGTTGCGAGCGCCGTAAAACACTTTACAAAAACAAAACAAACAAACAGCTACTACTGCTGCTGCTGCTGCTACTACTACTACTACTACTACTACTACCTTTACAATAACAATAGCATTTCTATTGATGTGATTTGACGGGACAGATACATAATATAGTTAATATTATACCACTTCTTGCCATTGCATTCCCCGTTTTCTGGCCTTTCAGATTTGTGTTTATCGCACCTTTTAGCGTTGTGACGTAGATTTGGTTTCTATAGCTATTCCCAGTGTAGTCATTAGATCTAATACTATAATAATACCTTTTAATGTTCCTGATGAAGCCCGGAGTACAGCGGAACGTTGAACGTATTATAAAATAATTTTGGAAATTTTACCAAGTCTCAGCCTTTTTGTCTTCTCCTGCTGTATACAATAATGATGATGATGATGCTGTTGATGTTATTGTGTTGTTGTTGTTGTAGTAGTAGTTGTTGTTGTTGGTAGTGGTGGTGGTGGTTGTCGTGTTGGTGTTTTCGACGTTCGATAGATAAAGACTAGCACTAGCACTGACTTTTATACAAACCGCTCTAGCAGCCAGTGAAACTCTATCTCAAAGTGTATTTTAAAAAACACTTGTAAGAGTACATGTACTGTTTACACTTTAATGTTCATAGACATAGAAAGACTACTAACTGTTGATAAAGGTCGTTGGTTAGAAAGAAACAATGCATTTGCTGCACCTAATCGTGAATTGATAGCAAATTAGTAGAGGTGAAAATGCTAAATTAAATTGAATACAAACAAAAGTCGCGTTGGGGGATTGATTAACTTTACTTTTATCCGCCGCTTATACAGTTTGGGTGTCGCGGGAAGATAAAAGATAAAAATTATCTGTCGCCAGCCGGAGAGCTTTGGGTCAGGGGTATGCCATGGGTGGTTATATGTCCCCGACTCCATCTTTCCAGGTCTTTCTCGGTCGCCCTCTGGCCTTGTTGCCATTGAATTTTTTTTAATGTATATATGTAGGCACGTTGTGCTGGGTGGTGTGTTGGTAACTGCTCGAGATGTCAGAACCATTTATTGATTCTCTGGTGTTGGATGTGATGTATGACATCATTTGTGCCCACCATTTCTCTGATTACCGTGTTTCTAATTTTGTCTCGGCTGGTCTTGTTTACTGCTTTTCTAAGGCATCGCATTAAACTTCAGGGGAGTAAACAGTAGGAAAAGGAAAAGCACAGAAAAAGACGAGGAATGTTTTTAACCTCATTCTCCACCCTCGACCCATGTCCCGACAAACACTCTGTGACACAAACTGTGCTAAGCTTACTGTGTGAGAATGCATTCATTTAGTTTTACCCAAAGAGGTTGTTATTAATACTTTTATTAATACTAACCTCTTTGGTCTTACCATTTTTTCTCCTAACAGAATTAATCCCAACTATCTCTCTCTCTCTCTCTCTCTCTCTCTCTCTCTCTCTCTCTCTCTCTCTCTCTCTCTCTCTCTCTC